TCCCCCCCCCCCCCCTCCTCGCTTTCTCTCTCTCATTTTCTCTCTCTGCCCCCTCTATCTATCTCTTATACTCTCTCATGCACAATCTCTCTCTGGCTCTCCTTTTTCTCCCTCTCTGTCTGTTTCTATGTCTCGCTCTCTCTTGCTTTTTCTATCACTCTCTTCCTTTCTCTCTCTCTCGCTGTCTTTCTTTCCCTGTGGCTATGTTGCGCTCTCCCTCTATGTCCCTCTCTTCCTCTCTATGCCCTTCCAACTTTCCCCCTTTCTGCCTTTCTCTCTCCACTCTCTCTATCTATCCCCCTCTTTTTCTACCAATCTCTCCCTCTCTCTCTCCCCCTCGTGTTTTCTGTCTCCCTCTCTCTTCCTCTGGCTCTGTCTGTCTCAATGTCTAGTTTTCTCTTGCTTTTTCTATCACTCTCTCCCTGTCTTTATTTCCCTGTGTCTCTATGTCTCTCTGTCTCCCTTTCTCTCTCCTTCTCTCTCTGGGTCTTTCACTCTCTGTCTCCATCTCTCTCTCTCTTTCACTCCCCTCTTGCTTTCTGTCTCTCTGTCTCTGTCTCTCCCTTTTTCTCTCTCTCTCTGTCTCCCTCTTGCTCTCTCCTCCTCTGTCTCCCTCTCTCTCTCTCTCTTCCCTCTCTTCCCCTGTTCAGAGTTAAATACTACTCTCATTTCCTCCCTGCCCGTTGTCTCTCGTGGTGTTTTAGAAACTCTACCTACAGATATTGATCGCAGACTAAAAAAAGCACATTAAAGTCAGATCTGTGCAGGAGTGGGACGAAACTAAATAATCACCCGTTCGCTTCTGTAAAACTCGTCACAGAGAATTCATTGAGATGTGGATTTACTACTGCGGCTGAGTGGTCCTTAGTGGGTAAAGTAGTGGCTAATTTAATCTACTTTAGTACTTTTTTTATTTCTATTTTGGTTCAGACCAGATTCAGACTTATCTCTGTGTTTATCTCTCTCTCTGTCTTTCTTTCTTTCCCTGTGTGTCTCTCTCTCCCTCTCTCTGTCCCTCTAACTTTCTCTCTTTCTGTCTCTTTCTACACTCTATCTATCTTCCTCTTTTCTCCCAATCCCTCCCTGTCTCCCTCTCGCTTTTTGTCTCCCTCTCTCTCTCTGTCTCTTTTTTCTCCCTCATTTTCTCTCTCTACCCCCTCTATCTATCTCGCTTTCTCTCTCACTAACAGTCTCTCCCTGTCTCTCTTTTCTCTCCCTCCCTCTCTCTGTCTGTCTCTATGTGTCGCTCTGTCTTGCTTTTTCTGTCTCTGTCTTTCTTTCGCTGTGTCTCGCTCTCTCTCCCTCTCTCTGTCCCTCTAACTTTCTCTCTTTCTGTCTTCCTCGAGCTGTGGCTCTCTCTCTTTTATCTATCTCTCAGTCTCTCTCATTTACAGTCTCTCTCTGACTCTCTTTCTCTCTCTCTGTCTGTTTCTATGTCTCACTCTCTCTTGCTTTTTTCTAACAAGCTCTCTGTCTTTCTTTTCCTCTCTCTCTTTCTCTCTCCCTCTAAGTCCCTCTGTCTGTCCCTCTAACTTTCTCTCTTTCTGTCTCTCTCCACTCTCTCTATCTTCTCACTTTCTGTCTCCCTCTCCTCTCTCTCTGTCTCTTTTCTCTCCCTCCCTCTCTCTGTCTGTCTCTATGTCTTGCTCTGTCTTGCTTTTTCTGTCTCTCTCTCCCTTTCTCTCTCTCTTACTCTCTGTCTTTCTTTCGCTGTGTCTCGCTCTCTCTCCCTCTCTCTGTCCCTCTAACTTTCTCTCTTTCTGTCTTCCTCGAGCTGTGGCTCTCTCTCTTTTATCTATCTCTCAGTCTCTCTCATTTACAGTCTCTCTCTGACTCTCTTTCTCTCTCTCTGTCTGTCTCTATGTCTCACTCTCTCTTGCTTTTTCTAACAAGCTCTCTCTGTCTTTCTTTTCCTGTCTCTCTCTCTCTCCCTCTAAGTCCCTCTGTCTGTCCCTCTAACTTTCTCTCTTTCTGTCTCTCTCCACTCTCTCTATCTATCTCACTTTCTGTCTCCCTCTCTCTCTCTCTCTCTGTCTCTTTTCTCTCCCTCTCTCTCTGTCTGTCTCTATGTCTTGCTCTGTCTTGCTTTTTCTGTCTCTCTCTCCCTTTCTCTCTCTCTTACTCTCTGTCTTTCTTTCGCTGTGTCTCGCTCTCTCTCCCTCTCTCTGTCCCTCTAACTTTCTCTCTTTCTGTCTTCCTCGAGCTGTGGCTCTCTCTCTTTTATCTATCTCTCAGTCTCTCTCATTTACAGTCTCTCTCTGACTCTCTTTCTCTCTCTCCCTCCCTCCCTCTCTCTGTCTCTATGTCTCACTCTCTCTTGCTTTCTCTATCACGCTCTCTCTGTCTTTCTTTTCCTGTCTCTCTCTCTCTCCCTCTATGCCCCTCTGTCTGTCTCTCTCCACTCTCTCTATCTTTCTCACTTTCTGTCTCCCTCTCTCTCTCTCTCTGTCTCTTTTCTCTCCCTCCCTCTCTCTGTCTGTCTCTATGTCTTGCTCTGTCTTGCTTTTTCTGTCTCTCTCTCCCTTTCTCTCTCTCTCTGTCTTTCTTTCGCTGTGTCTCACCAGTTTCTCTATCTCTTCCTGTCTCTTTTTTCCCTCTCATTTTCTCTCTCTGCCCCCTCTATCTATCTCTTATTCTCTCTCACTCACAATCTCTCTCTGTCTGTCTTTTCTCTCTCTCTCCCTCCCACCTTCTCTCTCTCTCTCTCTATGCCCCTCTGTCTGTCCCTCTAACTTTCTGTCTTTCTGTCTCTCTCTCCACTCTCCCTTGTCCTTGATTCCTCTCCTCGATTCTTCTGCAGCAAATGGGTGAGGAAGCAGGAGACACAGGGAGGAGAGAGGAAATAAACTCCTCACTGAGAGCAATAAAATTTTATTCTTTAATCTCCTCCGGAGCCTCCCTCGTGTTTACTCCTTTCTTCTGTGTTTTTTGATTGACACATTTGATTGACAGCTGAAAAATTGAAGATCGAGAAGAGGAATCTGCCTCTCTCGCTTTCTTTCTTTCTTTCTTTTCTCTTTTTTCTCTCTCACTCCCTCTCTTTCTTTGTCTCTGTCTTTCTCTCTCTCTTCGTCTCTTTCCCTTTCAATCTCCCTTTCTCTCTCTCTCTTCCTCCCCTCTGTCTCTTTTTCTCTCTCACTCTTTCTCCATCTCTCTCTCTCTCTCTTGCTTTCTGTGTCTTTCTCTCTCACTCCCTATCTCTCTGTATCTCTGTCGCGCTCTCTCTCTCTGCATCTTGCTCTCTCTTGCTCGTTCAACACTCTTTTTCTATCTCCTCTCTGTTCCCTGCCTCTCTCTCTCCCTTTCCCTCTCTGTCCCTCTCTTTCAGTCTCCTCTCTAGAATCTATCTCTTTCTCTCCCACTTCTTCCCCTCTCTCTCTCTCTCTCTCTACCACTCTCTTCTTCTTCTTCTTCTTCTCTCTCTCCCCTTCCATCTTTGTCCCTCTCTTTCTGTTCCCTCTCTACATCTAATTCTTTCTCTCCGACTCCTTCAGTCTCTTTCTGTCTTCCTCTTTCTCTCTCTATCTTTACCACTCTCCTCTTCTCTCTCTCTCCTCTTCCATCTGTTCTTCTCTTTCTGTCCCACTCTGTCAATCTCTCTCTCTCTGCTTCTCTCTTTCTGTCTCCCTCTATCTATATCACTCTCTTCTTCTTCTTCTCTCTCTCTCTCTGTCCTTCCATCTCTGTCCCCTCTCTACATCTATCTCTTTCTCTCCCACTCCTTCTCCCTCTCTCTATCTATACCACTCTCTTCTTCCTTTTTTTGTCTCGCTCTCTCTCCTTCCATCTCTGTCCCTTTCTACATCTATCTCTTTCTCCTCCACTCCTTCAATCTCTCTCTCTCTGCTTCTCTCTTTCTGTCTCCCTCTATCTATACCACTCTCTTCTTCTTCTTCTCTCTCTCCCCCCTTCCATCTCTGTCCCTCTCTTTCTGTCCCCTCTCTACATCTCTCTCTTTCACTCCCACTCCTTCTCTCTCTCTCTATACCACTCTCTTCCTCTTCTCTCTCTCTCTCTCTCCTTCCATCTCTGTCCCTCTCTACATCTACAATATCTCTTTCTCCTCCTCTCCATCTCCCTTCCTCTCTCTCTCTCTCTCTCTCTCTCTATCTATGCCTCTCTCTCTCTCCTTCCATTTCTGTCCCTCTCTTTCTGTCTTCTCTCTACATCTATCTCTTTCTCTCCCACTCCTCACCTCTCTCTCTCTCTCTCTCTATCCATCTATACCACTCTCTTCTTCATCTTCTCTCTCTCCTTCCATTTCTCTCCCCTCTCTACATCTCGCTCTATCTCTCCCACTCCTTCCCTCTCTCAGTCTCTCTGTCTCTCTATACCACTGCCTTCTTCCTCTTCTTCTTCTTTCTCTCTCTCTCTCCTCCTTACATCTCTGTACCTCTCTTTCTGTCCCCGCTCTACATCTATCTCTTTATCTCCCACTTTCTCTCTCTCTCTCTATACCACTCTCTTCTTCTTCTTCTCTCTCTCTCTCTCCTTCCAGCTCTGTCCCTCTCTACATCTTTCTCTCCGACTCCTTCAATCTCTCTCTCTGCTTCTCTCTTTCTGTCTCCCTGTTTCTCTCTTTATCTTTACCACTCCCTTCTTCTTCTCTTCTCTCTCTCTCCCCTTCCATCTCTGTCCCCTCTCTAAATCTATCTCTTTCTCTCCCATTCTGTCAGTCTCTCTCGCTCTCTTCTTCTCTCTTTCGGTCTCCCTCTATCTATACCACTCTCTTCTTCTTCTTCTCTCTCTCTCTTTCTGTCCTTCCTTCTCCTCCTTCAATCTCTCTCTCTGCTTTTCTCTTTCTGTCTCCCACTTTCTCACTCTATGTCTACCACAAAAAAAAATCACTTTATCCTTCTTGCTCTCTGCCTCTTTTTCTCTCTTTCCCTTTCTTTTCACTCTCATACCATTTAACACTGTCTCCATTTACTCTCTCCACTCCCAACTTTCACCACCAGATGTCGCCAAACCCCGACCTTTACCCCTCAGCCTTTACTCACCTGTCTCAAGCTCACTTTCACCGGGTACACGATATTGGACCCCTCGCGCCGGAAATGCGGGTGCGGCTTGTCTTTGATCACGAACACAATATCCGCCGGTATCGTATTCAGCGACTCGTCCCCCTCTCTCGGAAACGTGATTTTAGTCCCTTCTTTCCACCCCCTCTTTATCTCTATGGTGAGTATCTTATCTTCCGTCCGCATGGTCCGCCCGTCCGGGTTCAGCCGCTTCCTGGAGATCTTCATCCTCTTGGTGCACCCGTGGAACACCTCCTCCAGGGTGACGCGCAGTTCGTGGATGATGGGCGGGTCCTGCTTTCGCCGCTGGGGCCCGTCGCGAGGGAATCCGTTCATGTTGAAGCCGGGGAAGGAGCCGAAAGCGTCGTCCACGTCCATGTCCTCCTCGTCCCGGCCGTTGGTCTTGCGGCCGAAGAACATCTCGAAGGGGTTGGAGCCGCCGAAGAAGGTGGCGAAGGTGGCGTGAGGGTCCCCGTGGAAGGTGTAGGTGAAGGTGTTGCCGGGGCCGTCGCCGGTTGGTCCATTTCCGCCCTTCAGACCTAGAGGGAGAAATAAACATATCGTCAATTGTGTAATGACAAAGACTCACGCTCTCTTACTCCTTCAGGCTCTCTCTCTATCTGTCTCTCTTTTTTCTCTCTCATCCCCTCTCTGTCTCTCTCTTTGTCTCTTTCTCTTTCACTCTCCTTCATTCTCTCTTACTCCCCTCTGTCTCTGTCTCTCTCTCTCTCTGTGTTTATCTCTTGTTCTCTCTCACCCCCGCCCTCTCTTTGTCTCTGTCTCTCTCTCTCCCCATCTCTCTCTTTCTCTCTCACTCCCCTCTCTCTCTTTGTAGTTCTCTCTCACTCTCTCTCTTTCTCTGTCTCCCCCCTTTCTGTTTCTCTTTTTTCTCTCTCATCATCTCTCTCTCTGTCTCTCTCTTTGTGTTTCTCTCTCACTCCCCTCTCTCTCTCTTTGTCTCTTTCTTTGTGTTTCTCTCACTCCCCTCTCTCTCTCTTTGTCTCTTTCTTTCTCTCTCTCCCTCTCTCTCTCTCTCTTTCTCTCTCACTCCCTCTGTTTCTTTTTCTCTGTCTCTTTCTCTCTCACTCTCCCTCTTTCTCTGTCTCCCCCCTTTCTGTCTCTTTTTTCTCTCTCACTCCCCCTCTCTCTTTGTCTCTTTTACTCTCTCCCTCTCCCTCTGTCTCCCCCTCTGCCTCTCTTTCGCTCTCACTCCCTCTCTTTGTCTCTGTCTCTCTCTCTCCATCTTTTTCTCCCTCACTCTCCCTCTCTCTCTGTCTCTCTTTCCTCTCTCACATCCTCTCTCTCTCCCCCTCTCTGTTTTTCTTTCTCTCTCATTCCCTCGCTTTCTCTGACTGCCTCTCTCACTCCCTCTCTCTTTGTCTCTTTCTCTCTCTCTCTCTCTGTCTATGTCTCTCTTTTTCATCTCTCACTCCCTCTCTCTCTTTGTCTCTCTCTCTCCCCTTGTCTCTTTGTCTCTTTCTCTATCTCTCCGTCTCTCTCCCCCTCTCTGTCGCTCTTTCTCTCCCACTCCCTCTCTCTCTCTGTCTGTCTCTCTCTTTTTCCTCTCTCACTCCCTCTCTCTCTTGTTTCTCTCTCTCCTCTTGTCTCTCTTTCTCTCGCACTCCTCCTCTCTCTTTGTCTCTTTCTTTCTCTCTCTCCCCCTCTCTGTCTCTCTTTCTCTCTCCCTCTCCCTCTTTCTCTGTCCCCCGTCTCTCTTTCTCTCTAACTCCCACTCTCTTTCTCTCTGTGTCTCGCTCTCTCTCGCTCTTTCCATCACTCTTTCTCTGTCTTTGTTCAGTAGAAATTAGAAAATCCACGCCTTAATATTATTATTATCCAAATGGTGGAGCACTTCCTGTAGTACCACATGACATCACAAGGTGGAACAGACTATTTTCAGTTTGAGAGAAGACCTCAGCCTAAATATACGGGCTGTTAAAGACGTGTGAATGAATCAGAACACCGCTCCGGGTCTGTTTTCGACGAGGAAACAACATTACAGTACGGGTCTTTAAATCAAACATTACTATTTGATATTCAGACCCTTTTTATTCACCGTCCTTTTGACCGCGCACATGCATACAGCTCCTCGGTGGTCGGTTCAGTGTCACCTTTTTAAACCCGGAGTGAAAATAAAACCTGATTCACGATTCGTTTTAACACCATGATTCACTCCGAGGGCCACATCAGAAACGCAACACGGGCTGAGTCACCGCTGACATTTGGAGATAAGCTTTCACTAACTGTCCATTTCAGAGACTAATGAAGCAGGTGAGGTGGGACAGGGCCACACCACGAGCATCTGAGCAAAGGGTCTGGATATATAGAGCTATCCAAGTCAGTCTAGTCACTCTGGGTTATTCTGAAGCGCTTGGACTGCTGCAAACTGCTGAAAATGAACCACCGTATTTTTCGGACTATAAAGCTGTAGCGGACGATAATGTCAGTATATTTGTTTTCGTGGTAATAAGTGAGAAAATTATATACATACAAATATAAACTTTTTCATTATTAAGTATCATCATCATCATTATTGCTATTGTGTTATTTATTGTATTATTATTTAGTTATTTAGTTCAATTTTCTTTCTTATTTTTCTTCTTATTTTTTTATCTACTTTCTACATTTATATTGATTTTATGTGTGTGTGGGGAAAAAAAGAAATAGGGCATGTACTATATTGTGACTTATGTGGGCAAAAAAGCACAGAATAAATAGCAAATAAAATTTTAAAAAAGTGAGAAAATTATTGTTTTATTTGTTCGAATATTAAGATGTGTCAGAATACCACAGTAATTCATTTTATATTTTATTTCTGAAAATATTTACCTTTTAACTTATGTGACCTTTTGCCTTGCCCCCAGAAGTAAACAAAGAGGGAAAAATATAGTAGCTGCGAAAAGAGAGAAAAAGACGATAGAGAAAAACACAAAAAATGTGTAAAGAAAAAGACGTCAAAATAAAAGACACGACAAGACAAGAGGAGACATTTTCTGTGTCTGTCTTTATTTTAGTTTTCACTGTGTTTCTGAGAATAAATACTGACACATGATCATCAGTACGGAGCGTGAAATCCTTTTTTGCGAAGAAAACCAGGGTAGTACAGCTACAAAAGCACACTTTAATTTTCTCAAAAATCTACATGCGCCTTATGTATTAATTCTGGTTGTGTGTACTGACCTTGAACAGTAGGAAAAACTAAAGCACTCAAAAAGTACAAAATAATTAAAAGCCTTTAATACCACGTAGCAGATAAAAATTAAAATCACACCTTTGCCCAAGAGCTGATACGCGCTGGGGTAATTTTAACTTTATCTGCCATGTGGTGTTAAAGGTTTTTCATTATTTTGTACTTTTTGAGTGCCTCAGTTTTTTTCTTCTTTCTTGTATCTGAGACTGGTTCCCTACACTGAAGAGCACCAAAAGGACACTTCTACACAATTTTTATATATCCAAGTAGCACTCCTGCCCCCAAAGTTTTGACCTCGAACAGATTTTATGTGGTACGCGGCGCTCAGAAATCTGTCAAAATGTTTTCGTACGACTTTGGTAAACAACAAAGCCGCACCGCTTGATGAATTGTCGGAGCATTAAGGCTGCCGTAGTCAGGAACCTCGCGGAGTAAGGCTGGGTTTCATTAAGAAGTTTGACTCGATACAATATATTTCAAATCGATTCGATACGGTTCAATAAAAAATAGAGGCTAAATCATGGCTGTGATACTAAAAGTCTTTGTTAAATCACTTCTTGTGCAAAGTTCATATGAAACACAAACATTTTAATCATCAAAACAGTGAAAATTTGAAATGTGTCATATAAACGAGTTTCTTTCCACGAAACAAGCAACAAAACTGTAGCTCTGTAACAAAATAATAAACCAAAAAATACTCTTGGAGATATATCGATACAGCAGCCCATAATATCGATACTGTATCATCACATTAAACAATAGGATTGATCGATATTTTAAAAATTTACGATTACGCTTTCTTCAATACGAATACGAATTCACAGACGTGACTCTACTGTCAAAAATACGTCAGCACTTCACAGGGATTATTTATTGAGCAAAAGAAACATTGATTGAGATGTCGAACTTTTGCGCCGCATACGGACTGAACCAGGACAAAACCAGATTAAAACCAGGGCTGGACCAAAACAAAACCAGGACTGAACCAGGACAAAATCAGGATTAAACCATGACTGAACCAAGACTGAACCAGGACAAAACCAGAACTGAATCAGGACAAAACCAGAACAGAACCAGGACTAAACCAGGACAAAACCAGGACTGAACCAGGACTGAACCAGCACAGAACCAGGATTGAACCAGGACAGAACCAGAACTAAACCAGGACAAAACCAGGACTGAACCAGGACTGAACCAGGACAAAACCAGGACAAAACCAAGACCAAATTAGGACTGAACCAGGACTGAACCAAACCAGGACTGTTCACGGCATCGCAGTTAAGTCACGGAAACGGGAAACGGCTGTTATCCGTTTTTTCATTATTCATTTAAACACAAAATGAAAAACTGAAAAAACAAATCGTTATCTATTTTTAAATTTTGGTTTTGGAGACAAATAATGAAGAAAATAGTTGTTTTGTCGTTTTCTTATTTTTTATTTTATTTTGAAAAACGAATGAACGAATGAAGCACTGATTCATCTGAGATATGGTTTTCTAAATCTGAGTTAAGTTACAGTTCACAAATTAAAAAGCTGCAGTATGTTACTTTCTGGGGGTGACATACTTCGGAACATTCTCCACGGAGATCATAGGCTTATATATAAATGGACATGTCTAACCTGCTGGCCGCCACGCTCCAAATAGGAAGTGAACATGGGGGCGACTTTGGCTCCATCGACTCACCCCTCTGTCTTTAACTACTGCTGTGAGCCTCGTCATTTTGGTCTTAAAACGTTCATATTAACCCACTCTACATGATCCTGGTGTTTTTATTTTGCTATTTCGTCCGTAAACATCTCCGTCTGTGGTGGAGATAGAAAGAAGGTGGAAAGATTTATGCCAATTTGTGGAAAATTAGTGCCAAAGAAGCAATATTTCCATGGAAACAAGCAGGAGGACGCAACCAAATTGAATTATTTCAGCTTATTTTTGGCTGAAGCTTACTTACCGCTGACTTTAAACGGGATATAAATCAATTTGTTGCATGATTGAGTAAATATAACTTCATATTTATAGCCGAACTGCTCGTCTATTTCCATGTATTCTCAGTCTGTTCAGAAACACACATCTGACAAACTGAAAATAACACATGGGCACACAGACTGGAGCAGCTTACAAGAAACATTGGTGCAAAATTGGTAACATTTTCTGCGTCAAAATGTTACCGACATCTGGAAAACGCTCGATATTAACACTATCAATACATGAACCATCCCCAGCTTGAAAAATGGTGTTAAGTTTATTGCTAATACTACTTTATTACTTCACTACTATCATGTTATTAGTCATTAAGAACCACAAACCACCACAACACGATTATGTTTCTAGTCCGTGCTTGTAACTTTTCCAGATATGAACATGGATCTTTGTCCGGAGTGTCTTTCTAGCGGGAGGATTATCTTACTGGGAATATTTTAGGTGGATGAGGAAGCCTGGAAAACCAAACCACCCAGACTCAAGGCTCCAGTTTTACAGTCTGGTAAGTGAACCTACAAGCTTCAAGTAGCTGGGCAAGATTTATTTTTTATTTTTTTTTACTATGCCACTAAACCAGGGGTGGGCAAACTTTTTGACGCGTGGGCCAAAAAGGGTTCTAAAATTTGATGGAAGGGCCGGATGAGGAGCAGATGGAAGGAGTTTTTTGGTAATTCACCTCATAAGAGAAAAAAATAACATGGGATAAGTGGAAAACATATCTAATTTTATTGAAATATGCCATAATTAAATAAAATAAAAGCATTACAACAAAATACCTGTCTTTCACGTCCTATGGTATTTACTGTTTATTGAAATTACTTTTAAAACACTGAAAATGGTTATGATTATTATTATTATTATTCAAGTTTGGTGGCCCGGATTAAAAAGATAGAGGGGCCACATATGGCTCCCGGGCCGTAGTTTGCCCACCCCCGCACTATACTGTATAAAATAAATGTAAGGTTTACCAAAGTTCAAAGTGATGACTGCCACAACTCTTGTCTACAACAATTTAATTTAATGTATTTTTTTTTTAATTTCCCCAAATCGCATTAAAAAACATGTATTAGTACTACATTTACTTGAGTACGTCTTTAAAGAAACTGTACTTTTCAGAATGTTCTTACTCCTACTTAAGTAATATTTCATTGAAGTAACATTAAAAGTCATTCTTTTGGTTCCTCTCAGGCCCGTCGACAGAAATTTGGGGGCCCGGGGCAAAAATCCTCACATGGGCCCCCCTGTAATATAAATTAATATAAAGAGGGTCCAAATCTGCGCCTCTAAACCCACGTCCTGGTTCTTCTTCCCACTGTGAGTAAGTTTAAAGTAACAAAAGCTTTATGTGACAATATGAAATTATTTGAATACAGTATTTCTGTTTCTTGCCCCGCTCCTTCAGATCTGATTTAGTTTGTCTCATTTTTGTGTCTATACTTTGAAAACACCAGATTTTGTGCATTATTTAATGTTTTGTCTTCAAATTACATTCATTGCAATACAAACAGTTCTTTACACTTTTTAATTCACTCTTACTCGAGTAGGAGTTTTCCAAAATACATGAAAGCTACTTCTTGGACCACTACTTTGTACTTCTACTTGAGTAATATTATTTTGAAGTGACATTACTCTTACGCAGAGGTGGGACCAAGTCGTTGTTTTGCAAGTCTCAAGTCTTTGACCTCAAGTCCAAGTCAAGTCCCAAGTCAAATACAGGCAAGTCCAAGTCGAGTCTTGAGTCACTGGCCCATTAGTCCAAGTCAAATCCAAGTCATCTGCTTTGAGCTTCAAGTCATTTCAAGTCTTTAAACCAAAGCACCAAACATAGCTTAGATTTTTGAAATTTATATGAATTTTAAACTAAATTGTACTTAAAAAGTCATGGTATATTTTATATGAGTATTTATATAAGAGTTTTTTTCAGACCTTTTTTCAAATGTCTTGATAAGATCTTAGTGCGAATCATTGTGATCAGAATAGAAAGAATCAAGTCCTCTCAAGTCACAGGTCTCAAGTCCAAGTCAAGTCCCAAGTCAAATACAGGCAAGTCCAAGTCAAGTCTCGAGTCACTGCCCCATTAGTCCAAGTCAAATCCAAGTCGTCTGCTTTGAGCTTCAAGTCTTTAAACCAAAGTAGCAAATATAGCTTAGATTTTTTCAATGTATTTGACTTTTAAACTAAATTGTACTTAAAAATCATGGTGTATTTATATATGAGTATTTATATAAAAGTTGTAGAAGTGTTATTTTTTCCTTTTTAAATGTCTTGACAAGCTCTAAGTGTGAATCATTATGGTCAGAATAGAAAGAATTCAGATTTAAAAGTGAAGACTTAAAAGTTTTAGACGAAGCATCAAGTCTTCTCAAGTCACAGGTCTCAAGTCCAAGTGAAGTCCCAAGTCACTGACCTTCAAGTCCAAGTCAAGTCTTAGTCCATTTTATCAAATCAGGTCTCAAGTCCTAAAAATAGTGACTCAAGTCTGACTCAGGTCCAAGTCACGACCTGAAAAGTCCCCACCTCTGCTCTTACGTGAGTATAATTTTTGGCTACCTGCCTCTACCCAACAATAGCTACTTTTATCACCATGGCTTCAACTCTAAAATGTACTAAATTAGATGGTTACTTCATCTCATATGAAGTAAATGCCATCCTCAACACTTTTGGGTAACGTTATAATCTACCTGACATTTCAGAATATGTTAAATCCTACATTACACAAAATTCAAGTTGTGTTTTCTCTTCTATTCTTATTCATACATGGCTCTGTTCCACCTTGTGATGTCATATTGTGGTTAAGGCTGGGTATCATTAAGAAGTTGTTGATACGATACATATCTCAATACACAGGCCGCAATACGTTACATATCTCAATACACTGAGTTTTCGATTCAATACGATTCTATACGATATATTTCAAATCAATTCGATACAGTTCAATAAAAAATAAAGACTAAATCATGGCTGTGATACTAAAAGTCTTTGTTAAACCACTTCTTGTGCAAAGTTCATATGAAACACAAACATTTTAATCATCAAAACAGTGACTATGCCAAATGTGTCGCATAAACAAGTTAAAATAAACCAAAAAATACTCTTGTTGATATATCGATACGGCAGCCCACGATATCGATACTGTATCATCACATTAAATGGTACGATATATCGATATTTTGATATTTTTCCACTGCCCTAATAGTGGTAATTTTCAAGTTAACTACACATTTTACTTTTAGGCTACGTTTATATAAGAGAATATAAAAGAATGAGAACTTCGCACATCAATTACGTCAGATGGGTGCATTGGAGGAGAGGAAACAGCCTAATAACATAAAAAATCCCGCACACTGTCTTACATGAAAATAGTGAGATTTATTAGGACAAACCGAGCAACGTTTTGGCACTAGGCTACGTTTATATGATGATGACCTGAAAAGAAGACGCAAAAAGTGGCGTTGCGTCTTCACTTTTTATTCCACGTTTAGACAAGCATTTTCAGGAGGAAATCTGCATGTATACGGTGACGCAAAAGTGTGTGAAATTCGATTGTGTATGCATGCCAGATGGGTAGATGGTGACACATATGACGTAAATGCATACGCCACGTGAGCAGATCTGACCAGAGTTTTGCGTCTTGGGCAGTGTAAACAAAAACGCTACAGTGAAGCATATTATACTTTACCATTCTGGAGAGCGCTTTCAGATTTGAGCATTTTTAAGCCTCAAAAACGCCGTCACCGTTTAAACCAGGGGTGTCCAAACTTTTTTCATCAAGGGCCACATTTCTAAACACATACGAAGCAGAGGGCCGATCGAGGGCCGTGGACTGATGCTCAGTACAGGGAATAATTGAAATGTGTGCATCTTTAACATGTTAGAATGAGCCATCAGTCTTTATTCATGCTAAGATCCTTAAAACCACACACTAAATATTAAATATGAGCTTTATCAAGGTCGATTTTTGAAAAAAACTTGCAGTGAAAAATTATTTTTTAATTGATGCAAAGTAATTTGGGCCAATTCACCTGGAAGTGGGCCAAGAAAAATTTGTCTGAGGGCCGCATTTGGCCCCCGGGCCATAGTTTGGACATGTCTGGTTTGAACGAAAGACACTTCTGATAAACAATTTTGATGTTCTCGTGTAAACAGGACCTTAATTCAGTATAGATTGGTAATTCCAGGGCTGATATGTTCCAAATGTTTCTAGTGAAGATGTGCGGAGTTTAAAAACACAGCGGGGCACTTCCCGTATCACCACATGACATCACAAGGTTGGACGGTGTTTTTGGTTTGAGAGACGAACTAAATATGCGGGTTTTGTGCGTTTAACGTGTGTGAATGAAACAAAACACAAACTCCGGGTCTGTTTGTGATGAGGAATATGAGGTATTATAACACAGATGAGATAATAGTGTAATATTGGCCCTTTAATTCCTCACTAGGCCCTTCGTCACCTCATCTGCACCTTTGGATAGAGTTACAATCACAACCTATGTATTTCCTGTATGATTGATGACATGTAGGCAACGTATATTTCATAACAAGACATGTGTGGTCCATCTGTCAATTTTGGCTCTTGTGTGGGCGATCCTGTGGCTTTTTAATACAAATACCCACAGGCAATACAATCTGACAGTTTCCAAATGCGTAAAAGCTGTGCCAAAACGCGAAAAAGGTTAAAACTATAGGTTACAGTATAGAGCTTACATACCTTCTTCACCGTATTGGTCGTATATTTCCCTTTTCTTCGGATCACTCAGTACATCATAAGCCTCTGCGATTTCTTTGAATTTTTCCTCTGCTGCCGGGGACTTATTTTTATCCGGATGCCATTTCAGAGCTTGCTTTCTGTACGCCTTTTTGATATCGTCCTCAGTCGCTCCTTTAGAGATGCCCAGCGTTTTGTAGTAGTCTTTCCCCATTATTATTATTATTATTTTTTTGTCACGCTTCAAATCACGAAGGAGGAATTTCTGGTGGACTTGAACGTGTCTGGTCGTGTCCACGGGCGATGGAAGGATGGATGGATGGATGAATGGGCGAGCGTCTCCTAGCCCGTGTGGCTGTGGACGTACGCAGGCAGTACGCGGGCGCTCGTGGTTGCACAACGCGGGTTAGAGAGCATTTAGAGCGGCTTAGTCAACGCCGTGGACCCCCTGATATGTATGCAGAACCGGATGACCCTCTTTAAATAGCCACAGCTCCCTCCTCTGCATCCGAACCTCCGCCAGCGACAAGTTACGCACGGTAATGCGCGCTGTTTCCGGGGAGCGCGCTGGATCACCAAAGTAAAAGTGCATTGGATGTGTTTGTGTGTTTTTTAATGTTTTGACTTGTTTTGTTTTGTTTCATTCACACATGTTTGAATAATCCTGGTTTATCAGTCTGTCTACTAGTGTTGTCGTCCGAGACCTGTCCGAGGTCACAGGATCCCAAGACCAGGACAACACCAAGACCTCTGAGGGTTGAGGCCGAGACCTTTAAAGGCCGAGACCAAGACCTCTGGGGGTTGAGACCAAGACAAGATTGAGACTTTTAAAGACCGAGACTGAGACAAGACTACAGCCCATTGTGACCAAATCGAGACCAGGACCAGACCAAGACCTCTGGGGATTGAGATTGAGACAAGATCAAGATTTTAAAAGGCCGAGACTGAGACAAGACCGAGACCACGGCCCATCGAGACCAAATCGAGACCATCTTTGTAATTTTAGCCATTTATTGGTATTATATATTTTCATGTTGGCACATTTATATCAGTGTTTTTATAAATCTATCTCAATTTTATCAGTCATCGAGTGTCAGACCTCGAGACCGAGACAAGACCAAGTCCGAACGAGATCAAGTCTGAGACAAGACCAAGACCGTAAAAAACAGTCTTGAGATCAAGACCAGTCTCGAGTACTCGAATACAACTTACTCTTACATAACAGATAATACTCCCTACAACTGTGCAACATCTCACCCTTATGTAACAGATAATACTCCCTACAACTGTACAACAACTCACCCTTATATAACAGATAATACTCCCTACAACTGTACAACAATTCACCCTTATGGAACAGATAATACTCCCTACAACTGTACAACAACTCACCCATATGTAATATAATACTCCCTACAACTGTACAACAACTCACCCTTATATAACAGATAATACTCCCTACAACTGTACAACAACTCACCCCTATGGAACAGATAATACTCCCTACAACTGCACAGTAACTCACCTATACTTCCAATGACCTCTTGTATAAAGCTGAGATTTTATATTTTATTACTTATTTTTTCCATTTTATTTAGATTTGTACATATATTTTTGCTACTTATTTAGAATTTATTATTAACATTTATATTTTTTTATTCTTTGTTATTATATTATATTGTGACGTGTGAGCTGCTGTGCCCAAATAATTGCCTGTGGATCAAAAAGTTTGCCTAAGTAGGTTAATAGCTACACTGATTATTTATGAGATTTAAAAGGTAGTATCTCTGTGTAACTGTAGATGCTTTTATTGTGAAGTGTGAGTTCCTGTGGTGGACGGGCCGCTCTGGGTTGTGACAGAGCGCGCTGGACTCCCGTGGCTCTTTCTAGAAAAGCAGATGCTGATGCGCGTCATTCACTAAAGGCGGCTCTGTTCACGCGCGCAGGTGAGAGGTCACGCTTTCACGGCTGTCTGTGCGTAAAAGGGCACGTAACGTCAAAGAGGAGGCAAAGATTATACACAAGCCTCCATAATGAACAGGAAACTGCCAAGGATATTTAGTCATAGAAAAATTAGGTTAAATCAAATCGTGTCGTGACGTCACACATCAGGTGAGAGGAGCCTGTTCAACATTATGCAACAAATCACAGTTTCCTTCAATGGACCAACCACTGCAGATCATAACTGACTGTGGGCTTATAGCTACAAGAACATTCATTTTTGGGGTTAAACAAACATTTTAACATTGATAACCCAACTGTACCAAGTCAAAAAGATAATATGAAGGCAGAACTACATGGACCTTGTATCTTTGAAAATTGTCTTGCTTTACCTGGAATGTTCCACAGTACTGCATTAAACTTATATCTACTGGGTTCAGTGACATATAGAGGATAAAAATATGAACTTTCCTGTCTTCAAATGATGTGATCAGCCTCTTGAGCCACTAAAGAGACCAAATGCCTTGGTCACTTTGTGCCCGGGCAAATATGTTACTGAGGAAATGTAGTATGTGTTCTCATGATGGTAAACGTTCTGTGTTCAGAGCCTGTTGTTCTCCACTGTACACAGCTCCTCTGTGGCGGATTTATGGATGTGGGACCTTCCTCAGGCTCACTGTGGCCTACAGTGATGATTTTAGGCTTCTGCTGCAGGTGTCCAGGTGGCACAGTGCCAGTCAGCTGTTTGTGGACACTCACATCCCCACGTGTGAGGGACTGCTTAGACATTTACACCTGGAGGTGTCTGAGCTCATGCCGTTACACCTCTGCTCTGAGGACGCACTGATGAGATGATTGATCAGTTTTCAATGAAAAACTGCTTTTTCCTGACATCAAGTTTTGTTTAGAGAAACCAAAATTCAGTTTATGTTGTGTCTGTTTTCCAAATGTAAATTTTCTACAGAGAAATGTGTCAAGGTGATGTCAGTTGTTCTGCATTACTTATCACTGACTGGAGAAGGAGGTCACACATGCCTCACCACAGTATTTTCTATCCTTCTGGATCAAATACCACCATGTATTCCTTTAATTTTATGTATTCTGAAAACCACCAAATGAAAAAGTAACTGCAGAATACAGTTACTAAAAATTTTGAATATGTTTTTTTTTTTTCCCCGTAGGTCTACACTGGATGTATGTAATATCATAATTTTATGTCTTACATGAACAGTGCTGGGAAGTAACACTTATTCTGAATAGTGATTTTGAGTACATGTAATCCTGTGCAGCTACGTTCTCATTTAGTCATTGCGGTGGAAATGTTAGTATTCTGTTGTCCAAGTAAGAAGTGTTAAAATCCACACTATTCTTTGTTTAATCCTTTCTCTCACAGAAAGGCTACAGGTACCTTTAGGTTTATCATTTACATGTCTGAAGGTTTTGTCACATGTGAAGTGTTTGATCATCTTCATTTGTTCTCAGATGCAAATGTAAAAGTGTTAAATTTCAAAGCTAAGAAAGCCAAATGGCCAGACAGACTGACCTAAATGCAAACTGTTTTTAGGGACAAGAAGGGCTTAGCTGTAACTCAATACATTTTCAAAGTTCTTCCCAACACTGTAGGTTATATGAATGAAAAATAAAATATATATATATACGTGTGTAAGATCTATTAGGCTGTATGCAAAATTTTGGAGCTTTCCTCTTGAATTCAAAAGATATAGGCCTTTATATCTCTGTATTTCATTATTATCATGGCAACTGTCCCAATTTTGCATGAACCCTCTGACCGATCATTTGCCTCTTATCCGCCCTTCACCTCTGGCATTGTGCAGCAACAGCGCCCTCTAGCGATCTGTATCTGCACACTGTAGTTCTCCTTCACTGCATTATCGACCTGCACAGTCCAATGAGTCAGCGTTGAGTGAAAGGGCTGCACCGCTACTCCAATGATTACCAATAGGATTATAACTTTACCTGCTTTTGTGACATAAGCTTCATTTTAGACATTTGTTTAGTTTTTTTGTATTTAGTTCATAATGGATCAGTTTCGTGGGCTGTTTGACAAACTGGACCAAAACAACGATGGCTATATTTCCAAAGGAGAGCTGCACAATGAAATGAGAAAGCATGGGATACTGTCAGCAGATGGCAAAGTGCAGGTAGGATTCTGTTTCTTCATCACAAACATGCCCATGCAATATATATGTGTGTGTGTATTTTTGCAGAATATTATTGACTCTTATGACCAAAACCAAGATGGACTGTTGGATTACAAAGAATTCCTCAGTTACATGATGGACAGAGAGAAGAAATGGAAAATTCACTTTCAAGATCTGGACAGGGACAAGTGCGGTAAGTCTGCAACACAATCATGTATTTTGATTGTTGTATTATCTGAGCAGAGGTGGTAAAGTAGCCAAAAATTGACTCAAGTAAGAGTAATGCTAACAATACAATCAACTATTATGTTTTAATTATTGTATTATTTTAGTGCATAGTCCATATTTTTATGAATGGTGATTGTAAACCTACTTTTGAAGGTGACTCTGCCAATACAGCTGGTGTTTACAGTAATCAGTTACCTTTGCCCTCATGTAGAACAGAACCATGTGATGTTCATGTGTGTAACCTAAGAAGAGTTGGCAAAGAGGTCAGTACTCAGATACTGATCAATAGGTCTACTAAAACTATCACACTAGATACTCATTAGTATATAGTTTTGTCATCATAATAACATTTCAGACTCAATTTTGATATCAAGAAATAGACTTGATGCTCAGTACTGATTCTGATACCAACATCCATCCATCTTCTTCCACTTTTTGTGGCCATACCAGCTTGTAAAAGCCTGATCCTGCCAGATCTCAGAAGCTAAACAAGGCCCGGTATGGTTAGTACTTGGATGGGAGACCACTGGGAAAATCAGGTGCCAGTGCTAGGGGGGCGCCAGTCACAGAAACTGTCATTGTGTCCTTAGGCAAGACTCTTCACCCACGTTGCCTAGTATGAAAGTGGCGCGTGCATAAGTGATGGTGGTCGGAGGGCAAGATGGGGCAGCTGTGGCTACAATAGTATAGGATGGGGTGAATGAATAATGCTCTGTAAAGCGTCTTTGTGACATATGTCTGTGAAAAGCGTTATATAAATTAAAAACGTACTTACTTAATTTAACCGTGACCGGGTCACGGGGGCAGCAGTCTAAGGAGAGACTACCAGACCCCAAAGGTGTTCCCAGGCCAGCCCAGAGACATAGTACCTCCAGTCACCCCACAGAGGAAACTAATTTAGAATTTTTTTTTTTTTCTACTATTCTAAAAAAAAAACAACTTAAAACAAAGCAGAATGTCATTTGTCAACATT